TGCAGTGGTGCAGCCACCTGTAGGGTACTGAACTTGGCACAGCAGGAAAGTGTAACGACGGGAAGCACGACAACGCGGATTTTCACAATTTTGCGTTCAGAGGGAGCACCATTTAGGCCAAGACTTTCCCCTGTAGCAAGGCTTGCTGCATCGTTGCGGAGGACCTGTTCGCCATTTCGCGTCTCCACATCGCGGGCGGCGGTAAAGGGGGAGGGGGGAAATCAGCTTGTCATACAGAGCACCGCTGGTCCAGCGACATCCAGATTTTCCTCAATGCCCGCAAGTGTGGGTGTTTTTGTGAGCCTGTTTTGTTAGACGTATAGACGTTGTATCAGTGTTGTATCCCTCGGGCTCCCTCCCGGTTCTATAGTAGACTTGATGTCCTTGAGAGTGCACGGAGGAGTGTTCAATATGACTTTCCCGATGCAATGTGGAAGCTCTGAGTCTTCTTGCAGCTGATAGCTGATAGTCCCGAGGGAAATTGGAAAATTCCTTGCGATAGGAGCTTGAGCCGTTAGTTCAACTGCGAAGCTATTTTCACTTGAGTTCCTGCGCACGAAGCATAGAAAGTCCGCCCTTATGTTCTTCAACCCGTTGTTGTTTCCACGCACATCGAACCAAAGCCTGTCTGTTTGATGAGGACAGGATGGCTTTGGCTGCAGCTTTGCTGGCGGAGCCTTTGCGCGAGTCTGCTTTCGGTTGCGAAGAGTTTGTTTTCGTTTCATGTGCGAGCTACAGGTGCCAAGAGCTCCCAAACTGCCTGTGGCTTGCAGGGATTCAGGAATCTGGGGGAGTTTTGCAGGGCCTTGTACATGGTTTTCAGGTTTGGCGGCTACTCGCCTTGAAACTATGATCCTGAAGGCCTTTCTGAAGGAATGTTGCAGTACAGAGTTTTGCACAGACCGGTGCCGAATGTACGGGCAGCATGGCGTGTAACCCTATTCCGAGAGCAGTTAGGCAGTCTTAGTGCGACGGAAGCTCTCGGCGTTTGCGCCGCATACGCTCCAGAAGAGCGGTGTTGTTGAGAGCGGGATCCCAGGCTCTCAACGTGTGTTTGTCGGTTCCTTGCGGCAGCTTTTGATGACGTTTGAACCCCCCCAAAAAAAAGCTGATCCGCCATCCAAGAAAATCCAGAATCCGAGTCAGACCGTTTTAAAACCAGACGAAAACTATACAAGGATCCTTGATGTTCTTACAAACCAAGCTTCGGAGGAGAGGCGGCGTGGTCCGTCATCTCCCTTTGCGCCGCTCCTGGCCACTCTGCCGTCGGCAAGGGATCTGGCTGCCCACCCGCCGCTTTTTAGAACAGCTTCGGGATCGCAGCCTCCTTACTACAGGGGCCTAAATACCCACTGATACTATTTCGGGGTTCCTTATTATAAGTATAGCATAGTGAGCCCCAAAACCCTATTCTGGTTATTAAGGCCCCTATGTTAGTCCTGGCACGAACTTCGGGGAGTGCAACGGTTTTGTCAACGGACTGCAGAGATGGGAGGGGAAGGGTCTTGTGATGGTTCAGTGATGATGATTCGGTAATGGTGCTGATGCCGATGAGGATGATGGCCAGCGGTTCTCCAAGACCGTATGGGATGGAGAGCCTGTAACTATACGTAACCTAGTAAGTTTCCACGAAGATGGTAGCTGAGGATATTTTGGCCACCCGGTCTCTTCTTGCGGAAGATCTTGGCCTCGTGCCCTCACTCCTGCCGGATGGTCTGCCCGGTCACCCAGGGCTTCCTGAGCAGGGTTTCGGCATTTTGGGGTCAGGGCATTCTGACTTCTCATACTTCTCATCTCATCCTTCCGAGATGCTTAGGTCTGGATTTGACATTTGAGGGTGCATAACTCAGGCCGCCTGATGTCGTGCACTCGCAATGTTGTAACTGAGAGAGGCTCCATAGGAGTTCAATTTTGGGGGTTACCTTAACTTATAGGATCCTAAATATGAACCCCCAAAGGGGACTGCTATGGAGCCTATGGGCAATGTGGCATGATTGGATGGCCCGAGGACCATGTCCAGCGGTTCTGTGGACCATGAGAAACGACAGCGTGAGAGCAATATGGTACTTGCAGATGCCATGGCATTCATATATGTAGGTCAATGTGTGTATATATATATATATATATAATGTATATGTGTGTGTATATACTTGTAGAAGGCTTTTCGTTGCTTTCATAGATTAACTTGTTCATGTCCACGTGCATATATGTACATAACTGTGTATGTGCAGTATTTCTTTTTTATGTTCATACTCGTTCTGATATGTGTATTCGTATTCTCTTGCATTTCCGTATTCATATACATGGATACATGTCGAAAGTGTGTGTGTATACATCTATGTATATATATATATATAGAGTGTGTGTCGGTACATGTATATAGAGTGCAAACATACGCATGTACGTGAGTATATACCTACATACATGTATACATACATATATAGTCGTTGCATGTGTGCAAGTAGATATGTGTGCATGCATTCATGAGGGAGGAGAGAGGGAGGGATGG